AAGTTGATGTATTTCCTCAGCGACCAGCACGGATCAGCTCCAGGCATGACGAAGCAGATATCCTCCTCTTTTGAAAGGCCAAACAAAGTAGTTTAGCTTTCACAACGAATCACACAGTGCCTTCACGACATGGTGGCGGCAACAACAATACTACAGCGAGAATAAAAGTTACGCCTTCTTTCTTTGAGTGAACATTTGGGTGGCGTTATGCAAATCTTCCCACATAGTGACGTAGGTATGTGGGGGCGTGTTAGAATGAGCCGTTTTAGGTAGGTGTGGCTGACTCTTAACTTTTATAAAGAATATCTCTTTGGATTTAAAACTTTAGTCTTTGCAACTTTACAGATCTTCTTTATGCACCAAGAGCTTGTAACACTCCAAAGAGAAAGGAAAAATTGAAATCGCATCATATGACCCCTTTAAAAGCCCAGGTTATTATAGAATGGTGTATATTTGGGCTGGTACCCAGGTGGTTATAGGTTCAGGTCTCACATGATCCATAAACAATGTTTGTTTGTGTGTTTACATATGTTTCCTCTCCCCAGGCCAATAAGAAATGTGAGGAGGCACGGCAGGAGAAGGAGACAATGGTGATGAAGTACGTCCGAGGTGAAAAGGAAGCTCTGGACCTGCGGAGGGAGAAGGAGCAGCTGGAGAAGAAGCTACGGGAGGCCACAGCAGAAGTAGACAAACAAGCTCGGCGGGGAAACACACTGGCCCAAGAAAAAGGACGCCTACAGCAGCTCTATGAAGCAAAGGTCATACATGAAAATACAGTTGATACCTTGATGCTTGATACGGTGTGTAAATCTACAGTATGCATTGATTGTATATAGGTTCTTAGGAGTCTTTGTCTTTGATTACTTTTCTGTAGGAGAATGAAGTGACAAGACTATCCCGTGAACTGGAGAAAGTGAAGGAAGAAATTAATTCTCATGTCATCAAAGTAAAGTGGGCACAGAACAAGCTGAAGAGCGAAACAGATGCTCACAAGGTAAACCAGAGAACACTGAATAAAAAGCTGTTCGCACCAAGCATGAATTATAAAGATAACTATAACTAATGTTTTAGCACTAGAACTACCGGAATTCTATAACTACTAGAATGGCCATAGTGGTCATTCTGACTAGACTGAACTGAATGCCATTTTTGTCATATCATATTTACATTCGAAGCTTCTTTTGAGTCTTTTGAGAGAAGCTTTGAATGTCTGTTAATATAAAAACAACTAGAACAAAAGTTGCTAGGCAACATTGACGTACATCTTCAACCGTGGGAAAAAAGTCGCAAAAGCAGAAATTATACGCCTTCTGTAATGCGAACGGTCAATTCAACCGCTTTGGCCATTCAAGGTAGAAATACTCAGAACTCTTTTGTGTTTTGTAATTTGAATAAACTAACAATGTTATAATAAAATATACACACATTTAGGAAAAGTCAGGGTTTTATAGTTGTATGGGTTTTATGTAATAAGTTATTACATTTTAAAATTTAAAAACGGTCAAAATGACTGCCTTGGTAGTTCTAGTGTTAATACTCATTCTAATTCTATGAGAATACGGTCTATATCACAGCTGTAACACTAACAACACAGAGGAATATCATTGGAATCACTTTTGGGATGATTTTTCCAGAGAAGGAATGTTGAAAAACTTTGACAGCCAGTCAGAATACGCCCAATTTCAAAATGCTAGTGCAATTAAAGCAGCAGACGATATAAACAGCGCTTATTATAAAAACAAAAAGTTAATATTCGTTAGTATGGATGCTAATATAGTTTAATATGTTTTTAATAATTGTCATATTGTGAACAAGCCTTGAGAAATACACTCACTTTTTCATGATAGGGCACATTATTACAGCAGCCATGATCTACTCCAATGATGATGAAGAGAAAAGTTAATTTCCACATTACTTTATCCAACTCGTTAAGGGCACAACAACATTTTTCCCCACAAATTTTTCCATCTTTCTCATAAGATTATTAAAAAAAAAAAGATCCAGTGTTATTGTAAAGTCACTTCAGTTGAAGGGATTAGTGTAACTACTTAAATGTGTCATAATGTAAATAGAATTTAGAGTTTTGATTGTTATAAGACTTTAATTTTACATTTAAATTTAAAATTGGCATTGTCTACCAATTGTGACCCTGGACCACAAAACCAGTCATAAGGGTCAAATTTTTTTTTTAATTGAGATTTATACATCATCTGAAATCTGAATAAATAAGCTTTCCATTGATGTATGGTTTGTTAGGATAGGAAAGGAATATTTGGCTGAGATGCAACTATTTGAAAATCTGGAATCTGAGGGTGCAAAAAAAATCAAAATATTGAGAAAATCGCCTTTAAAGTTGTCCAAATGAAGTTCTTAGTAATGCATATTACTAATCAAAAATGAAGTTTTGATATATTTACGGTAGAAAATTTACAAAATATCTTTACTTAATGCCCTAATGATTTTTGGCATAAAAGAAAAATCGATAATTTTGACCCATATAATGTATTGTTGGCTATTGCTACAAATATACCCGTGCTACTTAAGACTGGTTTTGTGGTCCAGGGTCACAATTGTGTCCAGTAGGGTTTTTGCAAAAAATGTCTATTTTGGTGAATTATGTATATAATAGTCTTATTAATTATAGTATTTATTAGTATTTTGAGTGAAATTTTATTTTATAGGTTCAGAATTTTCTTTTTAATTTTAGTTTAAGTGTTTTTGTAATGTGTTTTTGTCATTGTTATTTTTTATAGTTATATGTAGCTTTAATTTATTTTGTAATGCAGTTTTAGTCATTTTTGTACTGTAACTAAAACATATTTATTAGTATTAGTAGATTTTTCATCTAATATTTATGCTTTATTTTATTTTAACTTTATTTTAGTTTTTATAATAGTTTTAGTTAAAAATAACAACACTTTTTTTATTAACATAATAATGTCTTTTAAATAACAGGAAACAAAAGACAAACTAAGAGAAACAACTTCCAAGCTGACTCAAGCAAAGGAGGAGACTGAACAGATTCGCAAAAACTGCCAGGACATGATCCGCACATACCAGGTACTGTTTACTGATGATGACAGGAAATCAGTACTGCCCACTAGAGGGCACCATATACAAACACTTGCCCTGCATGTAGAATGCAAAACAATGACTTGGAGAGACATTTCAAGTAGACGCATTTATAGTTTATTAAAAAGGTTGCTTCAGTCCTCTGCTCAACATAATATAAGTGGCTTATCTTCATCTGGGGGTATATAACCTGATTTGCAGTTTCTGTCGCTTGTTATAAACTTAAGTGGTTACTCCTCTCTTTGTCTCCCGTAGGAATCTGAGGAGATTAAGTCAAATGAATTGGATGCAAAGCTGCGAGAGACCAAAGGAGAGCTGGAGAAGCAAAAACAAGAGCAGACAGACCAGCTAGAGGTACAGTTTCACTTCATTTACACTCAAGATTCCCTTGAGTCAAAGTCATTTTAAGAGCATAAACGCAAGACAATTAAGAAAAAACCCAATCCAGATTGTTTGCATGATATCAGTATATTCTTACCCAGCAGGTACTGTCATAATATTAAGCCCTAATGATATCAATTTCTTCATTCATATTTAAGTAATGTGCTTCAGTAGGGAATAGAGGCCTCGTAAAAGTTAGTTTTAAAACCTTTTGGGGGTCAGGTGTTTGTTCTTATTACACCTCATATGTCTTTGGTTTGCTTCTTTTAGCAGGCTCTGACTGCCACTGCACCTCTGAGATAAACCATTTGGCCCGTATGGCACCTTGCCACCTGCTTTTAAATGTATTTATGAGTAAATGAGCCTCCATTCACCAAGCGTCATTAGTACCTGAGGCCGACAATGAGAGTGTGTACTCCCTTATCAATGAGTCGCCCCTCTGCAAGAAATAGTGTTATTAACATTTGCATTCTCATTTGCATTATTAACATAGTGTTGCCTAGCAGGTGTCCTCTGCTGATTGTGATTACAATAATGAATAATGGTGATGCGGTGTGCGAAAGGAGGGGTTTTCATGGTCATTTTGTTTGATTGGCAGATGCACAAAGCTAAGATTAAGGAGTTGGATGATCTGAAGAGGACTTTTAAAGAAGGCATGGATGAGTTGACCACCCTGCGGACCAAGGTGGAAACTCATTTCTAAAGATAACACTATGAAATGATTCTGTGTAAGAGTACATTATTCTGACGCTTTGGCACTCTCTCTGGCCCTCAGGTTAAGTGTCTGGAGGACGAACGGCCCCGCTGGGAAGACGAACTCTGCAAATACAGAGAGATCATTAACAGACAGAAGGCTGAGATCCAGAACCAGAGGGAAAAACTCACCGCTATCACTAGACTAGAGGAGCAGCACCAGAGGTCTGAACACTCGTGCCTACAGCAACCTACCACTGACCATGTCTATTATTAGTTCAGCTACCAGCTCACAGAGCCTAAACTATATACTGCAGCCAATCTAATCTTTAGGACTAATTCTCTGAGTTTTTCAGATCATGAAATGAGATTAATTTCTTGAGACTAGAGTTGTCACAATAACAATACCAGTGACATTTTTTTAAACCAATTTCAGTGCAAGGCAAACATAATTTTCTATTGAACACAATCCTTTTAAACTATTTTCTAAGTGTGATTGAACCTATCTGTAGTGTTGTCATTAATCAACATATCATGAACTAACAATGAACAATTTTTACAGAATTTATTAATCTAGGTATGCATGTTATAAATACATTCTGAATATTGATAAATATACTATAGTAAATGTACTATAGTATATTTCATTGATAATTCATGTTTTATATATGTAAAATAATGAAGTTATAAATAATTATTATAAATAATCATTGTTAATGTATAATACTAAATAAATAATTTATTAAAATATCTATAAAAAAAGAAAATAAAGTGAACATTAAATAATAAAATGAAGATCAAGTGGGAGAAAAACTACACTGAACAAAATTATAAACGCAACACTTTTGTTTTTGCCCCCATTTGTCATGGAATAGACTGGTGTTGTTATTGTTAAAGGAACATTCCACTATTTTTTTAATATAGGCTCATTTTCCAGCTCACCTAGAGTTAAACAGTTGAGTTTTACCGATTTTGAATCCATTCAGCCGATCTCCGGGTCTGGCGGTAGCACTTTTAGCTGTAGGTGGTCACGTTGGTTATGTTGACGGAAGTTAGCCTATTTTCAGGTGCTGCGTAATAGCATTGCGCCTGCTGCACCCATAGTACGGCAGCAATAGTACGGCAGCAACACTAATATCAAACAAAAAAAATTTATAAAAATGCCAAAAACACACAACACTGAAACTTCTGAAATTAAATCTGAAATTAAAAAAATTAAAATGTAAAAAAAAAATCTAATGGAAAAAAATACAGTTACACTGGACTTTACTCCCATTCCTCATCCTTATTTTTGTTTGTGTGGATATAAATGTGCATTCAACTCTAATCTATAATAATTCAGATAACACTACAGACTTTATTCTCTTTAGCATGTTTGAATGGCATCTGCATCCCACTTTCAGATCCTTAGACACATTAATTTTGCCGTGCTTCTGTTGAGCATGCAGCATCAGTACAGCAGCCTGACCTTGAGCGATCTCCCAGCGGTTGGTGGACCCCGCTGATGCAGGAACTGCAGGTGGATGTGAATCCACTGTAGCGTGATCACACGGGCCCCTGCAGCGCTGACAGACCTCCGTGGCCGCCTCACAGGGGCTGCTCTGATTTCACTTCTGGTGGCCACATAAGCGTGTCATTCAGCTCTATTAGCTCATTCTTATTTTGAGGGTATTTAAAAACTCTACTGCAATGAGTTATGTGTATTCCTTAAGAATGACACACACTTTGTCTGTAGTATATTAATTTAGAGCCTTCAGTCGGACACTTTTATGGTCTGTGGAGTCATTTGGTCAGGTGGGAATACTGGTACACCATTATGATGAAACAAGACAAGGGTGGAAATCGCTTAAATATCACAGCCTCGTGTCTGACGTGTACCTGTCTTTTTCAGGGATGATCAGGAGATCGCGTCCTTGCGGGAGGAGGTGGAGAATCTGAACTCTCAGATCACCGATTTGCAGAGGGACATTGAAGGCAGCAGGACAAGAGAGGCGGAGCTGCTGGGCTTCACTGAGAAATTGACCAGTAAAAATGCTCAGCTGCAGTCTGAGAGCAACAACTTACAGGCCCAGCTGGACAGATTGAACAGCAGCTCCAGAGAGCTGCACAGCAAACTAGAGGAGACTGAGAGATCCCTCTCTGAGATGGTAAGAAGATCGCTTGTGTTAAACCGCTCTGTGTTGGGGAGGTTTCTTAAAAACAATACGATGCCAAGTAACAAGCTACTTGCAATTAAAAGTAGCTGAACTACAGCCAAGCTACTCTGAAAGTAGTTGGCCACAGTACAAGGCACTAAAAAAATATTACAATCCACATTTATTCAAGCTGTTTAAAAGTGCAATATCTTAACTATATAATTAACAGATAATTTATTAAAATTGTCCGCAATATTTATTTGGCATACAAACATTGATCTTAATTAGGGGGAGAGCATAACACTTGATCACAATTGCAATTATTAATAAATAATAGTTTTTATATCTGAAGTAAAAATATTTCTAAACAGCAGTGTTTAATTAAATATGTATTAGCCACAGAAAATGAGCTGTAAAACACCACTCAGGAACACTACTGAGTAATGACTGAAATTAAATTATAATGATCTCATTTATTCCAATGAACCATTGCAATGAAACAAATCGGATTACTTATCACTAGCTACAGTGCTACCTGTTAGAATAAATAGCTTCTTTGTTTGGTTCTGGAAAACCTACACTATTATTGAAATAGCTACGATTTTGTCATAACACTATTACTTTTGGTTGGTTACTTCAAAACACTGTGCACTAATTTGATATTAGACTTCTATCAATATGTATTGACCGGGCAGTTTAATTATAGCAACTCCTTAAAAGATACACACACAAAGCTTTTATTTTGAAGCATTATTCGGTTTGTGTATGTTTTCAGACGGACAGATTGAAGAAAGAGGAGCAACAAAGACAGGAGGAAGTTCTGGCGTTGCAGACAGAGAGAACAACACTACAGACGGAGACATCACAACTAAAGACACGTGTGGAGGAATTACGAGATGAACTGGTCACTCAGAAGAGAAAACAGGCGGCCAACATCAAAGACCTCACCAAGCAGCTCACGCAGGGTTAGCACTTTTCACAAGCAGCTCAAATTTCACTATTTATTGATTTACATTTATTTTTACATATTATTATTTTTTATTGTTGATATATTTATGTGTTTATATGTTGTATATATTTTATTTATATTTATTTATTTTGTTTATATTGAGTCCAGAAATAGTGAGAAATTATCTCAAATGCTACAACGTGCTTTTGCAAAACAAGCTTTTCATGGTCAAGAAGGATGTTAAGCATCAAACTGGCTTTGAACCCAAATTTACCCATGCTACCAAAATGATCAAAGTTGTTTACTAAAGGAAAAAAAAATCACCATAAAATCAAAATCTGAAATTTGTTCATAAACAACAGCTAAAGTGGCTAATATGTGTAGATATGTAAGAAAAAGCGGTATTTCATGCAGTCTCAGTGTGTTGCATAATGTTCAGGTTTTCTGAGGATGAGAGTATGTCACACAACAGGTCCATGCTGGCATCTTTCTAATTTGGCTCGCTTCTACCAAGTATCACCCGCCAAAATAATGTAGAGTGTTGGACGCACAACCTTTGACGTCAATATGGGAAATATTCTCCTCCCTTTAAAAAGCGGATTTATTTTTAATCCTAAATATGCACATTTGCAAGTTTAGTTTAATTTGGAATTGCTTTTTTCCTCATGCTGTTTGCTCTATCAGAGCATCCCCGCGACCCATTTTTGGGTTGCGATATATGACCCTCCAATTAAGAACCATTGATGTGAATGATTTTAATGCAAAATGAAAGACAATAAAGTAACAAATCATAACACAATTACAAAAAATGTCTATATCGTTCCACTCTCATATTGTTTTCTCCTCTGTGTCTAGATGTCTTAACTAGAATTTGATTTGTTATTTTAATAGGCTCGCAGTGAGTTACTTCTCCACGCTCCCAGGAGCCCACAGGCGCTGTTAGTAATTATCAAGCCATATTGACGCTCTCCGTGGGGCAGACTGACGTTCATTACAGACAGATTGAGTTTATGTATCTGTGCCTGCCTGTAGCCGCAGGAAAGGCTAGGTTAGGGCACAAGACTGTTTCATAGCGTCTTTTCTTTGAGAGGAGAGACGAGGAAGGGAGGGCAAGGGAGAACAACGTGCACCATGGGACTCTCTTTAGTGTCGGAGGAGGCATACAGTACGTGAAGGTATTTTTAAACGAATCTATTTTTTCCTCCTCCTCTTTTTTGGGTCCCTGTGACCTTCAGTATCTTTTCAAGGTCTGCATGTTAAATGTGAACCTTAATTCTGAATAGTTGACGGGCACTACAGATGTGCCTGGTGGGTGGGAATTTTATGGTGGGTCATAACCCCCCCCAGCAGGTGCAGCGCTAAAATGAGGCACTGAGCGGTACAAGCACAGGTCATTGGCCCATTACTGTTACTGGGGTGTGTGTTTCAACCAGGAGTGTGTGTGTTTGTCAGTGAGAAAGAAAGAACTTATTGTGTGCTTGTGCCCTTGTGTAGCTCGTAAGAAGCTGGAGCAGGTGGAGAATGGAGGATGTGATCGAGAAGGGAGCAGCATGGGCAGCCGCTCCAGTTCTTCAGGTACATATGTTTAACACTTCATTAGAGACGTTGAGAGCGACACGCATCATAAAAGTATTCATAAGGCCTTATACAACAGTTCACCCTTGCTGATTTTTAGACCTCTTGCTCATGTGATGTTGCTTAATTACAATATACTTTGTTATCCATATCTTTTCATAAATAGCTAGAAGTACAGTTATTATATGTTATAATAATTACCTATTCACGTAAGCACCTAATCCATTGAAACGCATAATGAACACATGAAATTGGGTCTTTTAATGCATTATACTTTTGAAAAGGCTAACTATGAATAGGTAAGTTATTATGTAAGTTATTGTGAAGGTCCACATATATTCAAATAGAAAAGTGTTATTTTAAACTCTAATAATATTTCACTGTATTACTGTTTATGATCAAAAATGCAGCTTTGGTGAAAATCTGACAAGCCAAAAAACAAAAATAAAAAATGCAGTGACACGCTTACAATGGATATGTAAAGATATATCCTGTCTTTCAAAATATAGAAAAATGGTCCCACTTCATAAAGGACACTTTAGGTAAGTATAAAACTAAAATACTGTGAAGCTTTACTAAAAAAATCATGCTTTAACACAAATCTAATCTTAAAGGGGTCATATGATGCTGCTAAAAAGAACATTATTTTGTGTACCCATTTTTGTAAGGCCAAACAAAGTACTTTCGCTTTCACAACGAAACACAGCGTCAACCACATGTGACGACCCCGGGCTGGACTCCGCTAGATATTGTCCTCTTTTGGAAGGCCAAACAAAGTAGTTTCGCTTTCACAACGAAACACAACGTCTTCACGACATGGCGGCGGCAACAACAATACTACAGCGAGAATAAAAGTTACGCCTTCTTTCTTTGTGTGAACATTTGGGCGGCATTATGCAAATCTTCCCACATAGTGATGTAGATATGTGGGGGCGTGTTAGAACGAGCAGTTTTAGGTAGGTGTGGCTGACTCTTAACTCTTATAAAGAATATCTCTTTGGATTTGAGACTTTAGTCTTTGCAACTTTACAGATCTTCTTTATGCACCAAGAGCTTGTAACACTCCAAAGAGAGGAAACATTGAAATCGCATCATATAACCCCTTTCATATTTATGCGTTTAAACCCTGTGGAATACTGACCTGGTTTACTTTCTTCTAAGTGTGTGACTGTAACCTGCAATTTTAAGACTGAGACATGAGTCAGTCAAAGTGAATTTCTGTGGTGATCATCGTTGCCAGTAGCATTTGTGGCATAAATCTTAACATGTACTGAATCCAGAATGTTCTTCACATCTAAGTGCCAAGTTTCTTATCTGTGTTGTTTGTAATATTGCTCTTATAGTGTGACTGTAGCTGCAGTGTTTTGAACCTCTTACTTTCAGGCTCTCTAAACGCACGAGGCAGCAGTATGGATGATCGCTCTCCAGAGAATCAGTCCGGTTCATCGGTGGTAGTGGTGGACAGCTTCCCCGAGGTGGACAAAGCTGTGCTGGTGGAGCGCATTGTGCGGTTGCAGAAAGCACATGCTCGTAAGAACGAGAAGATTGAATTCATGGAGGACCACATTAAACAGTTGGTGGAGGAGATCAGGAAAAAGACAAAGTGAGTGAGAACGAAAAAGACAAAGTGGAAGGTAAAAGACGATGGAGAAAAGCTTCTTTGCTTCCATCCCAAAGCTTAATTTGACATTTACAAAAGAGCTTGAAGCTGCCTGGCTGACATTGATATATATGTTTTCCTATATATCCAAAGTTGTGATGAAGAACACCAAATAGAATCCATGAGTTTAATAGAAAATTAATAATGCAGAAGCGTACAGTGGCACCAGAAAGCATTTGGACACCTATGCCACACTGAAAAATGTATGACTGTCTAATAAAATATCAAAATGTGGCATTTATTTTTAAATTAATATAGCACAAATTTGCCCACACAAAAATGCTGGAAAAGCCAAACCCATTAATAAAAACACAAGTTTGGCTTGTAGTGTGTTTATTATTTAACACTGTTATATCTGACCTGATCAGGCAATTTTAAGTGTCCAAATATTTCTGTAGTGTTGCCACTATAGAGTAGCTCTGAGCTCTTGGTTTGGAGAATTTGAATGGAGTGCTGCCCTTCCTTTCCATCTGGTTGAATTTGGCTGGTCATTGTCCCTCTCTTGAATCCTCTCTTTCTCTTTATTTTTCTTTTGTTGTTTTTTTTTAAATTTATTTATTGTCTGGGGCTTCCTGACCAAGGCTTGTATCTTGAAATCTGGCAGACATCCATCTTTTTCTTTCACACACACACACACACACACACACACACACACACACACACACACTGAGCTAACCTATGTTTCTGACAGAGAGGTCTTGGCAGTGATATTTATAGCTGTCGGTTCCTGCGGGAGTGATGCGTCACCGAGGTTGCTAATGATGCCTGATACATATTCATACGCACCTCCATACATGAGGAATCAAGCTGGCGGTGCCCATTTCACCACAGAAAAAAAGCATCTTTTTGCTAAACAAAGTGAATGGTCTTAGAGAACGAGAGCACTTTGTTTATGTCTTTGGATAAGATAAATAATTTAACATGCTGCAGAGGGCTGTGAGTTGGGTTGCCGCCACCGCTCTGGACAGAAATGCCATTTCTGTCCCTTTCCCATCACTTGAGTAATGATAGACCTTGAATCGGTCCACCTGCACTAACCCACATTCATTAGTTCTAATCAAATACGCATCCCATTGAGGTCAGGCTTAATTTAGCCTCCTTAGCTGATCTTTAGCCATTACTTGCAGCTAAGCTTCCTCAAAGAGTCCAAATTCCCCAAGCAGTGGAATGTTTCCCAGTGTTTATCGACTGTTGCCGTTTGAGTGATTCTTTGACACACTGGAAGGTTAGATCTGACCGGTTCATCGTTCAAGGCTCAGTGGAAATTGATTACAGCATAAAACTGAGGCTGATTTAATAAGGTTTCCTTGATTTAACAGCGTGACTACACCTAGCTGAGGATTTCCATTTATCTCTAAAGAGATAAGCCTAAGTATACTCACTGTGCCTCTCATCAAGGGCGGTTAGAGGAAATAGCTGATGTTCTGGAATTGATACCAAGTGACGTTGGATTTGCATGTGATTAATTTTTATTGGAATGGTGCATAAATCATTGCTATATTTAGTGGTGTTTGCTAAATTTGAACAAACCTCTTACCTAAATTTGAGCATGAGCAAATCATACAATGGCTTGGTGTGGAGAGGTATGCTATTGCTTTTTGAGATTTTTGTCTAGCGGATGATGAAATGTGTGGGAAAAAATGATTGAATGTTTAGACTCCGAACCCCTCGAATTGACATGCATCCCCCGAAGGACCAGTATATCATCAGAACATTGGAAATCATGGAAATATTGTCAGGTGAACTCCAACATTGTGGCAGTTTTGCACAGACAAGGATCGTTTTCAGAAACTTTAATAATGTAGTTTGAGATCGTAATGTATGAAATGCTGTCTGACTGCAAAGACTGGTTACTTGTATGGGTATTTTTTGACCCATATATGTGTTTTGATCAGCACTTTTGCATATTGATTGAAACAGGGATGCGCTGTCTAGATTCATCTTTGATATTAGCTTTGATTTGATAAGCTCTTTGATATGAGCTCATCTTTACTCATGCTTCAGCTGTAGTGCTAGATACTCACAATCCTCATAAAATAAGCATAAAGATTCACATTTTGTCTTTTGATTTCTTGAATGAAGACAGAAGCTTAGAACTCACATATACGAACAGACTGTCAAATCCAAACTATCTTTATTTGACTCTATGGCTTGTGTCTGTTTTTCTACACACTCCTGGCGTTCTCGCTGTCTTATCTTTCACTTTTTCTGCCTCTAGGCTGTGAGAATCAGGCCATGCCACTGCGCTTAAGCTATAACTGTGATCTCTTTTATACAAATAGGTCTTCAAATCAAAATCAAATGTCAGAATGGTGTCAGAGCTGTGGCACATGATGTACTGTAGTCCGGCCTGGGTCATGTCCTGATCCAATTCCCCCTCTCGTCCCCTCAAGTTTACTGTCAGTTCTCCACTGTCCTATATAATAAAAGCCAATTAAAAAATCAGTAGTGGCAGTGGATTACTACCAAATTGTGCAGGTAACTTACAATAAATTCCAGTTATTGTTCATGCATGTTTAGTTAGAGGCAACTTTTTAATTTCTTCGTGTTTCGTTTTGTTAAATACTACCGTTATGGAGCTGGGGTCCACTTGGACCCCATATTAGTGAAAGGTAAGTTTATTCGTTTTTATATCTTCTTTCTTTTGTGTGTGCCTATGTGTATCTATATGTGTGGGTGTTCGTCCTTTATGTAGCATCAGCACATTGCAGAGACTTCGTTTGCCAAGCAAATGTGAATTTTCCCCGGTTTCTTTTCTGTCACACTGATAAATAACCGCTCTGAGACATTTTGAGTCATCGGGATGGAAAAAACACAACTCTTTTTAAAAGTTTGTTTGATATAGATGCCCCAGTGTGTTCATTTCAGATTCAGACAGTGAAATGAGAGTGAATTCATCAATTCAGAAAGCACTTACATCATTTTTTTTTTTTGTTCTCAGGCGGAGACCTTTAGCCTCAGGTCCTCTAATGTCTTTGTCTCGAGCATTGGTCTGAAGAAACCATTAGAATCGAATTCAGCCTTTATTTGGGCCATGCGTCACTGCATACAAAATAGATTTGATATAGTGGTGGCTAAAGAGAGAACTCTCTCCTGGAGACTAAAAGATCACTCCATCACTACATCATCCTTTATAGAAAACCACACAGGCTGTTTTTTTTCCTTTTCCCTTTCTATTCCAGCATATTACATGAACAACAATAGTGATGGAGATGATAATTACTTTAGATTTCCATCTGCCCACCACTGTGGTTCAAATTGAAGCATTTAAAGCTGAATTATGTTTTTTATAACTTAAAGCTTTTTTAAGATCTCTAAAACTCTGGGTATAAAGTGTGGTCTCCTTTTGTCTTTTTTTTTTTTTTTTTTTTTTTTTTAACATCAATTACGATTACAACAATTAGTGTTGACATTTTGGTAGCAATTTGAACTAGGATATGGTAAATAATATGTATCGTTGTTATTATTATTATTATGAACATTATGAGCTTATTTTTTATATATATACTCCTAATTCCAAATTTGGTGAAAAGCTGTCATCTTTTTATTTCTGTGCTCTGGTGTACTTTTATTTCTCTGAGCCTTGTTTTCATTCAGGTAAAGTTGCATATAACCTTTTACACTTGTTAAGGACTTTTACGCAAGGCCATACTATGACTTCAATTTAATTTGATTAATTGAAAACCAATCTTTTATATACTTTCTTTCAAGAAAAGCCGTTAACCAAAAAACCTTTCAGTCTTAAATCAAAATCAAGAAGCCTGTCCCTTATCTACACTTAGTATATGACCACTATATTCATTCACTAATTAAAATAGGCTAATTGATTTTTTTTCAGGAAGTACTCCTGCAAAACTGACAATGGCATGAAAAGCTTTTTCAATGAAATGAGTGTCACGTTAAATAAAACTTATGAGACCAGCTGGCTGAGATTTAGCTGTTCAAAGCCTTCTAATCTGTTATTTGTGAAACTCATTTATCATCTAGAGTGAAAGAGAGAGACACTGATGAGGTGGATACGGCTAATGGGGTCCTAAAGGCTGCCGACTTTCCCTCTTCTTTCCCTGGGTTTGTTCGTAACATCACCTTTTACCTCCTTGCTGAGGGTTATTAGTGTGGCAATGGCCTTTATGGCTTGAGAGTTCAATGACACTTAAAATTGCTATGTGTGCATGTGCATATATGCTATTTAGCGCACGATGCAGTTAAAATTCTGTGTGTTTCCTGCAGGATTATCCAAAGTTACGTGCTCAGAGAAGAGTCTGGAGCTTTGTCTTCAGAAGCCTCAGATTTTAACAAAGCCCATCTGAGCCGGCGGGGAGGTATCATGGCATCACTGTACACCTCCCACCATCTTAGCATGAGATGAGCAGGAAATCCGACCGTTTCGAAGCAAAACGGACAGAAATTGCCTGATTATCCTAGCTTACATTCTTGCTTTTCTCAGATGTGCCTCTTTTTGCTTTCTGTGTATATGAATCGAATGGCAGTGGAAATAATAGCATAAGTCCTCACAGCTGTCTGATTTGTTTCTCTCGCTACAGGAGAATCTCCAAACGCTGGGTTCGGAGATCGAACGACTAATCAAACAGCAAAGAGTGCCGGAAGACACCACCGGAAGGAAGTGAAGTCATCCGAGGGGAAGGATGTTACAATAGCACATGCTGTAAGACTGAGCCCGTTACGAAACGATTTACTCAGTTCGGGATCAAAACAGTGCTCTTTTCATCAGACAAGTTCAGTCTGTTTTATACACTGGAGGTACAGTTCAAAACAAGGACTGAACTGCGCTAACTAAGGAGACTTGTGTGACAAATGACTGGAAAGCAAAGAGATTACCAAGAGCCGGTGCTCACTTTTTTCACGTCGTGCCCAACTGTCCTCTCTTCGCCGTCCCCTGCGATGTAGCCTCCTCATCTGTGCCTTGATGACTCAGTTCATCAGGTTCAGAGCAGAATTGTAGTCCAAATCCAACAACGTGGTGTTTGAAGTTAGTAGATGAATGACTATTCTCATAAATGTGACCCCACGCTCTTATGAAGAACAAATTGTGCTTGACTAATGGAGATTCTGCAGCTCTTTAGAGACTTTTTCCTCTATTCATTGCACCGCAGGTTAATGGCTGCTCCTCGCCGCTCTTATACAAACGTGCCAATTAATGAATGTATTGTGTAATGAGAAGGACCCTTGCGTCTAATCCCACATGCTCTGACCCAGGAGTGTGGGCAACATTCCCTGTTTGAGCTGCTGCTAGGTTACTGCTACACCCGGATAGCATTATCTCTCGCTCGTAAAGCACTTAGGCGAGAAGGGCCATGCCAAAAAACACAGCTCTTGCTCTGTCTCATTATGAAGTTAAACAGATTAATCAGAATGAATAACTACATCTCAGAAATGTTGATACATGTAGGGCTAGTCTTAAGGGAGCTTGCGGTTCATTCTATCTGGATTAAGTTGTAATTAAATATTATTGTTTTTCCCCTCCTCTTCTGCTTTCCCCCCCTTCTACCTCTGCTTATATGTTTTCTGTAGAAACAACCTTGCAATTATTTTTATTTTTATGCTCCAGCTTTTTTTTTTTTTTAATCAATTATTTTCTTGTGTATGACGTTCCTGTGCTGCTTTTGAAGAGTTTGTTGCTCCCCAAAGAGATGTAGAGTGTAAAATCCCTGTGAAATGGAGACATTGTAAATATTAAGGGCAAAAGTGCAATTTTAACCCCCCTCTTTGTTTGTTCGACTGAGCCGTAATCGCCCCAGCCAGCGGCCCATCTGAGACTCCAGCAAAATCCATCCAGTTCCGTGGTGATGTAACCATATGGTACACAACACTGTGCAGAGTTGAATCCATTCCAACCGATGAATTGCGAATGCCTGAGGCATCACTGGTCTGCTTCTCCTTCCGTCCCTTCATGCGGGGGTGCATGATGAAGGATCGCCCCATCGGATGCTGCTGATGGATTTTTTTACGTTCACCTTTAGAGCAGATAATTGGCAGATCTCAGCCAGTTTATCAACCATTTTAGTGCCATTCTCAGTCTTCTGGATTTTCTCACGCTTGAGCCGCTATTGAAAGTAAAATCATGCCCATACACTGTGATAAAGGGTTTATAATAACTTGACATACTGCAATATAAGCTTGTCAAGGTCATATCAGTTGTTCTAACACTGAGAGCCTGCGCTTTAGCTCTCAGCACTCCCAAATCGCAAACACATTGCAGATATTCCAGAAAACGCTGGATGAAGGAAATTATGCAATGCTAGCAGGAAAATAAGCATTTACACAGAGCCCTTAATAGCGAATTGAGGACTCTATAATCTGTCGGTAATTTATCAGTGTACTTTACATTCATAATTTATTTAATGTCTCAAAATACTAGAAAGATCTCTTGAAGCATGTATGTGTGTTTGTGAATGGTGAATTGAAACTGATGGGAAAAAGAAAAAAATCATGTATTGATGGTCTGTCATTTGTGATCTGCTTGACTGTATAGTGAGTGAAACTGTGATTATAAATTTGTAGATATATTGTACAATGGTCCAGTGTTTTTAAATTTCTGGAGTTTACTGTATATATTAAGTTTAAAGGGGATTAAAATGAAAATATTATAATCGGAAGTTGTTTTCATTTGTTTTAAACCTTTAATCTATTTTCTATAAAAAATGGTTTTAAGCCGTAATAAAATATTATAATAAAATATATTTTTTTCTATTTATATTACTTGTATTACTTTTATATATTTTAATATTTATATTATTTTATGTATAAATTATATAATCTAGCAAAATTCTGATTTCGTGCATATCAACAGTGAATGATGTGGGAGAGTTGTTTTTTCCTCCCTAATAAAACCCTATTTATTTTTTTGCCACCATAACTATTCAGGATTAAATGGTTAGTTGCATTTTATTACTCCATTTAATCTTGCATTTTCCCTGCTGTCTGCAGCCATATCAGAGCTGCTGCCTATTTTGAATGACTTACAAGGTGATTTATGGGTCAGTGCACAAACCACGAGTCTCCCCCGACCAATTTTACCTGCATTGCTGTAAGTAACATTATGTAACAGTAGCAGGTGATGTCCAAAACCAACAGTTTTTGTGTACTGGGCCTTTTTGATCTTTTTCAAACAGAAAAAAAAACTGTGCTCATATTGGGCAGATCAACATAAAGAAAAGTTCTTAGAATTTTATTACAAGACTGGTAGTAATAAAAATATATAAACTACTTTTTCGAATGCACATTGCATCTACCCCAATTTACTGATTTTATAGGCAAACTGCCGCAGGACACTGAGTACTGGAAACTCACTTTTGAAAAATAATTTAGGTGGTGCATTTCCTGTTAGCTTCGACCTGCACTAATAATAGACGTATTTACACAAATGGCTGAATGTGTTTATCAAACAGAAGCTCTGTCTACATATGAAATGCACACAAGATTTTGCTATCTGAACAGACCTCCTACATGTACTGCAACAGCTTCAACTTTCAAAACTTAAACTCTTGCAACTCTTCCTCTACAGTACTCCTCTGTCTTTTATACTGGACACTTGCATCCTGCTTGCTTTAAATTCATCTCACCTGTGTGGCATTTCAGAGTCTCCTGGAGGTGTTGAGAGATGGCAGGTTAAAACATTATGTACATGGCAAAGGGCCATTGCGTAGGCTAAACTCAGATCAGTGCCTATTTTAAGCACTTCAAGATAACGTGCTCCGACACTCGTATCAACCTTGGAGACCCCCAGAGAATTCATGAGCCTCATTCAATGCTTTCGACTATCTGCGAGGTCTTGTCGTGAGCAACAGGAATGTTTGTGAGGTTATCCACGTTTTGCAAATATATCTCTACGTAAATATAATCAGATCCAGATTCTTATTTTTGGGAAGTAGCATTTTTCCATTAAAATGTCTTTATCTGGTTGAACATAAAATGCACAAAACAGGAAAATATAGGCTATACACGACAAATTTTTATTTTTTTTTATTAAGTAGCCTACTTAATTGTAATATTACTAGTATTACTAGTAATTGTAATATAGGCTAGTTCAAACGGGGGCAATAAATAGCCTATTCTAAAAAATATAGGCCTATATATAATGTAGATTTTCTTTTATGAAACGATTAAGCCGTTTAATTGTCGTCATGATGCGCATTTTTCTGGATTTCTTTTTGGTTATTGTAAAAAAAAACACCTTCAAGTAATTTACTTGAAGAGATTAACACGGAGTTTTACACTGTTGTTTAATGTCATAAATCTAATTTTGACCCATGAAAAGGATTATCATAGTTTTCATCATCATACACTTCCAGAGGTGGACAAAGTACACAACTCCATTACTTGAGTGAAAGTACAGATACTGCTGGTCAAATATTACTCCATTACAAGTAAAAGTTGTAAAGACAGATTTTTACTTAAGTAAAAGTACAGAAGTACTTGCTTTTAAAAGTACTTAAATACCAAACGTAACTTTTTATTGTTGTATGTAATACTTGCAATACTTCTGAAGCAACTTACAATACATTACACCTACTGAATACACTGACTAGCTTGTAGTATCTTTGAAATAAAGAGCTTTTAGAATGTTAAAAACCTATGGGGGAAAAAAAACAAAACATAAATAAATAAATATAAATAAATAAATAAATAAATATTTAAAACCCCTACCCACCCCCACAAAAGCAGGATGGTAGTGATCTCACACAGTTCTGACAGTGTGTAGCCATTCATCCACATCTGAACAGAGTGGACAGTGAAATCCTGTAAATACAGAGTGATAAGGAAGAAAAAAAA